TTATTGAACTTAAGAGCTATCACGTTCTTTTTTCCTCCCCAACCTGGGAAAAAAAGAAAAAAACACCTCAAAAAAAAAAAAAAAAAAAAAAAAAAAAAAAAGAAAAAGCTTTTACAATGTATCTTTCTTTTTATTTCAATTACTTTATGGCTGTTTACGAAATTAATATTTCTAAACATAAAAAAGAAAGCACTTAAAAATATAGTGATAGCTCTTAAGTTCCATAAAAGTCCCATACTAAAGATAAACTTTAAAAATATTAACAACTGATTATTAGTTATTTAATATTTAGAAATGACATTACCATAATGCACAAGGAAAGAAAAGCAGCAGCATCCACCTAAATTATATTATATTTATTTCCTAATTACATGTGAAATAGTAAACAGGACCAAACCACTGAAGCCTGCCAATCTCTTTCTTTCTTAAGTTCAGATACAGGAAAGCCACTTTGAGGTGGCTTTTTTAAAAACACACCACCACACCATCATACTTCTAAAATGTCTGTCTGTGTTTTTGCTGATATAGACACATACTAGGATCTGAATATTTAGTCAAAAGTTTTCTGGGACTTACTGGAAAGGACACTGGGGAATGATTGAATCTCATTCTAATTCTGTCAGGCATTTGTGAACTTTTAATAGAAAACTAAGTAATAAGCCATCAAATCTCCATCTTAACTTGTAACATACATTATAAAAAGTGTCTACATACATCAGTGTGAAGGTAGGGAGCCCATTACAATAAGAGTACTGAAGGCAATGAGACCCAAGGGTATACTCCAGGAAAAGTTAGGCCACATTAATCCTTAACTATGGAGACTCAGAATCAGCCAATCTGAGGGCTGATCCCTGCTCTGAGTGTTTAGAAGTCAACAGAATATAATATAACTAATAGCAATATGGGAAGAATGAGGGTTCTGGTACCATTACAAAAAAAATTTTTTTTTTAATTATCAAAGCCTGATTCCCCAAGGAAGAGAGGGATTAATTTCCTTGCATTGAACAAGATGACTCCGATACACACAGCCAAACTGTGCAGGAACAGTATCAATCATATCAAAGAAAACACAGACACCCAGTGTTCCAGGATGCCCCTCGGCAAGGACGGGGGCCTTTCTGCTGACTGACCCTTCCTCCTCTGCCTGTTCTCACCCCAAAACACACCAAGTTAACATAAACTTCTCCAACATAAATCCATACCTGGAGGAGGGTAACAGAGTTACTGCATGTTCTCAGTTAAAAACAAGGGTACAAGAAACCACTCTGAGATTGAGAAAGTAAAGAAAGAGCTCAGTTCTCTGAGGAAAGACTAAGTCAGCATAGCGGCCACTTCCCTCCAGTTTCGAGCCCAGACATCACCTCATCTAACCAGCACCCTCCAGACAGACAGACTCATAGAACAGAAAAGAGCCCCTAATCCCAAAGTGGCCCCAGGGCAGACCAGCTTCCTCATCTCACTCACACACACACACGTCTGACAGCACTCCAGCTGAAGGATGTACTGGCCCTTTAAGGAAAGCAACTGGGAAGACCTCTGTCATTCACCCCACCCTCAAAAGCTCCACAGTAGATTTAAAGAATAACTGGGCACCAGTTCGTTACCTGCTCTACCTCTGGCGTGCCTCTTCCAGTATAGAACACCAGCAACTCCAAGAATGTGAGTCAAAATAAAGATGGTTGGTGGTAAATAAGATGAATCTAAGAGGGGCATTTCCAGGCTCGTCCTTTCTCCTCCCTTGAGTTAGCCACAATAAGCTCAGTGTAGGCCTCTGGATGCCTTTCTCCTGAGGTTACTGCTGCCCTGTACTATCAGCACAGAGGCAGAGGCCGGAGCTTAGTGTTGTCAGAAACTTCCTGGCAGCTTCTCCTCCATCTCGCCTCTGACTGTTTTTCAGCGGGCAGTAGTAGACTGGGACTAAAACTGTACAGTGTATCTCAGACAAAGCCCAGGAAACAACTGGCCAGCGGGGGAGGGGAAAGGGAAGGAGGAACAAGGAGAGTGAAAAGGAGCGCCTAAGCCAGTGTCAAGCTGACTCAAACCTCTATCTTTGGCATCCTCTGCTCAACTTAAATAAACAAACCACAGACCCTTTTACAAGAAGGGAGGGTTGTCAGAGGACGTCACACTCTTAACTTTCCATTCCCAGCCTACTTGGAAGGCCAGTCTTCAGGATGTAGCCAGAAGAAAAAAGTCACAGAAGCACTAGGGAACCTCTTGTGGGGAGGAAGCAAAGTACATGAGGATGTATGAGTACCACAAGTACCCTGAAGTTGTCAGAGGGCAACCTCTCCATACCCACAACCTGGGAGGAGAAGCAAGGGGCCTAAACATCACTATAGGGAGAATACATACAAAGCTAGCTCCCATGAAACAGACCTGACATCTTGGTGTGATGAAGATCAGCAAAGAGAGCAAAACTGCTCATTTAGGGGGTACTTTTCAAGGGTTAAAAAATCCATCTGGCTGGGCGTGGTGGCTAACGCCTGTAATCCCAGCATTTGGGGAGGCACGATCTCCTCTCACTGCAATCTCTTGCCTCCCGGGTTCAAGCGATTATCCTGCCTCAGCCTCCCAAGGAGCTGGGACTACAGGTGCGAGCCACCATGCCTGGCTAATTTTTGTAGTTTTAGTAGAGACAGGGTTTCACCATATTGACCAGGCTGGTCTCAAACTCCCGACCTCAGGTGATCTGCCTGCCTCGGCCTCCCAAAGTTCTGGGATTACAGGCACACGCCACCACATCCAGCTAATTTTCATATTTTTAGTAGAGATGGGGTTTCACCATGTTGGCCAGGCTGGCCTTGAACTCCTGACCTCAAGTGATCCACCTGCCTTGGTCTCCCAAGATGATGGGATTACAGGCATGAGCCACTCAGTTTGGCAAATTCTTATAAAGTTAAGCATACATAGACCAGAGGACCCAACAATCTGTCCAAGTATCTGTCCAAGAAAAACAGAAATACGTCCACATCAAGACCCGTATACAAATGTTAAAAGCAGCATCATTCATAATATACAAAAATTGGAAACAACCCAAATGTCCATCAACTGGTAAACGTATAAACAAATTGTGCATCCATATAATGGACAATAAACTAGAACAAAACTATTGATACAAACAACAGCACAGATGATTCTCAAAAGCATTATGCTACACTTAAAAAGCCAAACACAAAAGGCTACCTACAGTATGATTCCATTTATATAACTTTCTAGAAAAGCAAAACTATAGAACAAGAAATTGAAGAGGCTGAGAGTGAGGGAAGGGAACTGACCACAAAGGATCGATCACAAAAGAACTATAGGGGATGATGGAAATGTTCTTTATGTTGATTGTGGTGGTGGTTTCATGACTATATACATTTGTCCAAATACTGAATCAGGCTGGATGCATGGCTCATGTTTGTAATCCCTGCACTTCAGGAGGCTGAGGCAGAAGAATCACTTGAGCCTAGGCGTTCAGGACCAGACTGGGTAACACAGTGGGACCCCAGCTGTACAAAAAAAAATTTTTAATTTAGCCATATGTGATGGTACATGTATATAGTCCCAGCTACTGGGGAGGCTGAGGTGAGAAGATGGCTTGAGTCCAGGAGGTCAAGGCTGCAGTAAGCCATGATCACGCCACTGTAGTACTCCAGCCTTTTTATTCGAGACAAAGTGAGACCCTGTTTATTTATTTCTAGGGTACCTATTACACTATGACATAAAGATGCTATATTCTCACAAGCTTTTAAAAATGAAAATTGCTTTAGATATCTGTCAAGTTTATTTTTTCTTTTTGAGATGGAGTCTCACTCTGTTGCCAGGAGGGAGCTCAGTGGCATGATCCTGGCTGACTGCAACCTCCATCTCGCGGGTTCAAGTGATTCTCTTGTCTCAGCCTTCCAAGTAGCTGGGACTACAGGCACACACCACCATGCCTGGCTAATTTTTATATTTTTAGTAGAGACAGGGTTTCATCATATTGACCAAGCTGGTCTCAAACTCCTGACTCAGGTTGATCTGCCCGACTTGGCCTCCCAAACTGCTGGGATTACAGGCATGAGCCACTGCACCCAGCCAAGTTTATTTTTTCTAACAATAAGGAAGGGTTTTACTTTTTTTTTCTATATGAAATCTTTTTTTTTTCCTTTTGCTCTTTTCTAGAGCTTGTTAAAGCAAAAGGAAAGAGTTTTAGATATGAATAACCTACTACCCAGAAAAATAATAAAGGGCTCTTCATGGGAGCATTAATACAATAGGAACTTTTAAATCTGACATTAAGATAATCTACAATTTTGGGCTAACCTACATTTCACTCATCAAATATTTAGTTCATACTATGTGCCAGGTCATATTCCAGGTACCAGAAACATAGTAGTAAACAAA